TTATGGATCACTTGGGTTGTTACCGACATCTGGTGAAAATTTCATGTCATTAGCACCTCTAGTAATATATTTATTGAGAAAAATGGTGACGTGTTCAATACTTACTTTACCCGCTGTATCTGCTAACCAAAAATAATTGCCGTGGAAGGCAAGTTCTGCCTTGCAGATATTGCATTGCACAGGTTTCTCTTTCACATTCTTAAAATGATCCCACACTTTTGAGCTCCTTTGTCAGGTAGCCATGATACCAGWGCCTGTCTGTATAATGTCTTGTGATGTCTATGGCCTACCCCGGTTATGACTACTGCGCATGTGTGTCAAGAACAGAAAGGCAGATGTGGCAGTGGAAGGTGTCAAAGCAGTTTGGAGAGAAAAACAAGGTAAAAGACAAAAAAAAAAGAGACTGACTATTAAATTAGTTGTCGACTAGTTGACTAATCATGGCAGCCCGTTTATGTTGTCTTTATGCTCATGTTTAATTTAGGGATGCACTGATATGAAAATTTCAGCCGTTATCGATATCGATATAATTATTGCTGTTATGGCCGATAACCGATATTTACCAATATTGCACAAACACACAAATTACATTATACATATACGCACAAACACACTTTGGTCTTTTTTTGATACTGTAAATAAACGGCCAGACCTCTGACATGGCTCTCTACTTCAGTTATTCCTGGCTACGCAGCGTCAATATCACTATCATGGTCAAACAGATGCAATTCAACCAACCATTTCCCATCCCAAAACAGAAACACAAAGCTAAAAAGTGGGAAATCAATATCGGACATTAATATCAGCCAAGTTTTACATATCGGACCCATACCAATATTCTAAAAAATGACCAATATTGGCCGATACCGATATTAGTGCCGATATATCATGCATCCCTAGTTTAATTGGGTTAGTATTTGCAGATTTTATATATTTAAACCAGAAATACATGAGGTCACACAAAGTTGTCACGAGTTGGGAACCAGTGGACGAGTTGGCGACTCATAATTTCCAGTTGTAGTCTGAGTGTTTGTGACCAGCGAGCCGTATGATCGAATTTTTTTCCTCCAGTTTTTGAAAATCACAGCCCATCTTTGTGCGTAGTGCTTGTAAAACTGTTTTTGTTTCTAACTTCCACCCACATTGTCCCCATCATGTCCCGTTTTGGAACCATCTCGGCAGCTTCCTTCTGTGATAATTGAGAGGAAGGGGGTGTGGCAATACATCAATCCACATCGATACATCAGTGATTAATGATTCAGTTACATCAAGGCAAAACGAAAATGAATCATATGCCCATCTAACACAATCATGGGCATATGATATCGCATCATATCGATTGCATACTTGTGAATTGAGGTGAATCAAAATTGTATCATGACCAACTCTGTGATATTGAGAAACATCGTATCGTCATCCAAACAAATTAATATATTTTTTTTATCACGATAAAGCTGCTGATTTACCCCTAATTTCTATGACTGTCTACAGGAGTATTCTTTTGAAATGAAGATGGTCAGAATTAATTATTTAACATGGGTAGATTTTTAGACCTGGAAATTAGGGGCTGTAGTCACAGATACTTTTACTGTCATCAGAAGAGCTGCCATGCAGGTGTTACAATATGTCTCTAGAATGACGAAAACTGAACTGAGACGAGTCGAAGGCGACCACAGCAACTCTGTAACAATTTTGTGGGAAAACATGTTGCTCAAATTGTTTAAATCTGACATGACAAGATGGCGAGCTTCTGCAACTTGCATGAGAAAATTGAGAACTTTTTTGAGATTTTTTTTTGGAGACTCCCTTTCCATTATGCCATTAGCAAACTAGTCACAACAGCAGCTCAATATGATACTGGCTTAAAGGGAAGGAGTAGATGAGATCCAGCCTGAGTATCCTTTCTCACACAGGATCAGTCCGTTACTAATTACTGCTATGTGATCGGTGTTCTGTAACCTCTAACCAGAAAAAAAAGCCACTAGCAGCATTTCCAAAAAATTGTCAAAACCCTGACTTGACTGTTAAACAGWTTAGTTAGTGATGAGAAAGCATATCCATGTGTTAATATCAGTTTCTGGTCTCTCAKGTGTGTGAGGCTAGCCCTTTTATGTTTTGTGTATTTTTGTGTGGTAATTTTATGCAACACTTATCCCGACCAAGGGTGGGTGATTATATATATTAAAAAAGTATTATGAACTGTTGATGAATACGATTTATTAAGTATTAATGTGCCTGTTTGACTTTCATACCACATTCATTCATCATACCACCAACTCTTTTGCAAAGAAGTAAACTTAAGCTTTTTTATTGTTTTTTTTAATTTATTAATAAAGCAATGTGTGGGATTTGTTTTGGAGAGGATATCTGTAAATAAACAAACACGAGGAGGTAGCAGTGCAGAGAGATGAATAGTTGATGATGTCTTCTTTTTGTTGTTGTTGTTTTCTCCAGGTCAAAGTGACACAGGAGCTAAAAAACACCCACACAGAGCAGATGACAAGACTGCACTTTAAGCATCAGACTGAATGCGACCTGCTGGAAGACATGAGGTACGAAGACATCTGCGTGTCGCGTCATTCTTTTCTGAGGAGCTGTGCTGAAGGATGAAAGGAGCACACTCTCTCTCTCCAAATCAGCAGATGTTTTGAAGTCTAGTCATTGTTGCTCAAAACGATTTGCACGACACACGTGAGGAATGGTAATAATCAGCAACAATAAAAATAAAAAAAATTGAAGAGGAAGCATTTGAGAAGTGACAAAGGAAGGAAGGATTGTCATACTCCAGTTTTTTGTGAACTGTAATAATGAAGGAATTTTTTGCTGGCCTCTTCCAGCTCCGTGACTGTTTTTATTTTCCGAATTCCACTCATTATTTATTTATTTTTAACATTTTGTCTCCTTTTTTTCCCTCGCTGCTATTATTCTGTCTGTCTCTTATCCATTTTGGCTTAGCTCTGTTCACTGGTGTCTTATATGCGTTGGCAGTTTTCCCTTTTGGATCTTGCAGTGAGAAACATCCTCGGTTCCCCCTCTCACTTTCATTTACACTGTTGACTAAGCATTGATTATTTATGACAGCGAGAACTCTCTAATACCATCCGCCTTTCTGCTTTCATTCCTGTCTTTTTCACTTTGTCTCCACTTCTGTTCTCATAGAGATTTCCCTCACTTGTCTCCCCTTCTTGTTCACTTGGGGGGGGGGGGGGGGCGGCGCCAGCTGTTTGCGAACAGATTGGCGTGTTGCTGCAGGCCTTTTTTTTTTTTTTTGGAGAGTGAACAAGGCTCAGGTCTCACTTGTGTGAGATAGTGAGATCCAGTTATATGTTTGCAACCGCAGTGTGTTAGTTTGTTTCAGTCAGAGAGAGACTGGCTAAAGATCCCCAAATTGTCTCGTCATCCTCATTATTGAAAGACACCGCCTGCAGTGATTTCTCTGTATGTTACTCGAGCCTTTAATGTCTTGTAATTATTTGCAATGACATGTTCTCATAGTGGTAAAATCCGGAGCAGCAGGGTCTTGCAGCGATTAGGGAACTCGCCTTTGGATTCGGGGGCCTGAGGTCTGGGCCCCTGCAGTGACCCACATCTGTTTAGTTGTTTTCTTTAGGCAAGACATCGAGACTGTAAGTTTCTTGATTGTTAGGATTTTTCTGAAATGGTGATGGGCAAATGGGAAGCTAGCAAGTTAACTTGAAGCAGTTATAACTTTTCATCAGATTAATGGTAATTTATGAGAGTAAATGGAAACAAACTTAGAGTTTAAAATGCAGAGTGTTGGTCCATAACTGGGATTTGAAATATTCAGAGTGAGCCAAAAGTCACAGGACAGTCTTTATTTTGATCCAGTATTGCGGCTTTCGAGATGGCGACCATGTTACAAACATAAGATAGACCCTGCACTCATTACCTGCTGGGGTATTGTCATTTTCCCTTTTCTTCCTGAAATAAAAGGGTGTCCTGTGACTTTTGACTCACACTGTAGTAAGTATAATTTAGCACAATCTTGACTAAAGCAACCAGATTTCATTCCGCACTACAGTGATGTCACCTGGACCTGGAGTGACCTGTAGGGATAATTAAAAAATAGTGAGTTTAATGGTTGACGTCGCTCTCTGGCCAGACAATGGCCTAGGATCTGCCTACGACAAATCTTGTGCTCGGCTCACTCAGAACCTCAGCCAAGTCGGTTTTAAGAACCAAGCTTGAAGCAGGTGCGATCATCCGGTGGAATGACTCTGAAGCTGCGCTGAGTCGATCCTAAAAGGGCCAAGTCAAGCCCTCGGTAAAAAGTCAACTAGTTCAAAAACTGCCCTTGTGTCAACCACCCCTGCTGATGATTAAAACAGGCTCACATAGCCTCATATAAACTTTTATTCATTCTATTCCTCTGTGGTAACACTGATCCAGCTTTCATAAAGCCATTTAGTCTCACTTTCACTGGACAGGAACTTTCCTCAGAGATCAGTGAATTAAACTTGAGCTGCTCTCTGGGCATCATTACAGCTTTACTGGGTTCTCACCTTCACCTGCAGCGATGAGCTCACCTTATCTCACACATCAGGCTTTTATGTGGCATATAACACAGAATAAACGAAAAATGTGAGATTTACTTAGATTTATTGACCACATCTGTGGAATTATTCATGCACATTAATGAAACGGTATTGGTCTTCAAGAAGAACTGGAGCAGTTTGAACCCAAAACGCTCTGTTTTCATTATCTCTCGTCTTTGCAGCTTCCATAACTTAACAAGATGGGGAGCAGAAAATCAAAGACTCGTCATAAAGCTGATTCATTGCCTGGTAAATACGTCCCGGTGAGGGAATATTTGACAAAAATGACACCTCAGCAATAATTCTAAATGACCAGACAGCCTCAAGTAATATTTGATACTCTCCAGAYGCCAAATTAATTCAAACTTGACAGATTTGCTGCCGTCCAAAATGAAGTGATTCTTCACTACTATTCCCCTGTTATTTAGGGAAAAAATATTCATTTAAAGACGACAATGTTAATGACATTTTCTCAAGGAAAACCAGTGAAATAACACTGTATATTACCTCAGATTTAGGAATGTACCCTGGTGTACCTGGCTACCCAGGTCTCTTACTCAGTGAGTGAGTGAATGCATGAACATTGTGAACACAGCTGATTTTGAAGAAGGTTTACAGTTTATCTGTGGCGTTCTTCATCAAGTTTAAGTGTTATTCTTCAAATGATCCGTGTCTCTGCAGAGACACACGGAGTCCTTGACGTATCGTGTTTCAGCAGGTGTGACAGCTCAGAGCAACAGCTCACTGTGATGTTTTGACTGCTCTGCTGTGGTCAGATAGAGAAGGAGCAAATTATTTTATTATGTCTTGGTCAGGTCCTTGTGTCACCGTTTTACGTGTGTTTTTGTCAGAACAAAAAAAAAAAAATAAGAATTTGCTAGGGCTGGGCGATATGACCCCCAAAAAATAAAAATTCTCAGATTTTTTCCATCCCAAATTCGATTTTCGATTTTAAACGATTTTGTTTCCCACTTAACGGAGTGCCTCTGTTTCAGGTGTCGAAACTGTTTTTTTGTACTCCTTCTTTTTGTAGCAAGAGCCTTCAAACAGATTTTGCAGTGAGGTGTTTGTTGCTCTAAGTCTTTGCAAAACCTAACCAGTTCCAGAAAACTGAAGAAACTGTGCCTTTTTTGGGAAGTAGATCCTCTTTGCTAGCTGTCATATTGTCATGTTGTGTACCAAGCATCTTGAGGGACAGGTGGGGTGACCTCTGAACTACAGAAGCCCCAAAGGGTGTATTGGTGAGAAAAAAAATCTAAATTTTCCCAAAATTAAATCTTTATAAATGGCAGATTCGAATTAATCGATTAAATCGATTTATTGCCCAGCCCTAGAATTTGCTTACAAATCTAATGCAGTCTGTGTTTAAACTTTAATAGCTACTTTTACCTGGTGTATTTGGTTCTGCTGCTACTATGTTCCACTGAATATGCTTTTGCAACTATTTCAATCAGCAAGGTTAAAAATCTGAAATGCTTAGTGTTTGATACAATATACTTGACCAGCAGCACAACTGCAGTCTCCTTTAGCAGCTCTGTGCTCTCTCACACCAAGTGTGAGGTAATCTTTATAGAAAACATTATGGGCTCAGGTGGCCGGGTTAAAAAAAACAATCCAAAACCAAAAAAAATAAAAGCAGCATTTTAATCAAGTTACAGATAATTTACAGTGACAGCGTGTTCAACAGGAGTTTTGTCGGCTGCTCACCTCCCGCTTTCTCCCTTTCTCTATTAGTTTGTTTCTCGAAGACGTTGCAGACAGGCTGCAGGTGTCTGTGCTGCAGCTGACAATAAATGGCAAATGAAAAGTAAAGTGCTGTGGGAGGTGAAGAAGGATAACTAGACAGACTGAAACTGTAACATCAAATGTTTTGCACAGGATAGTTTTGGCATGCTGGACACCACTGATATCAATGTAATAAGGAAAAAAAAGATGAGTCATGTCTATATATATACAGTGGTTTGCAAAAGTATTCATACCCCTTGAACTTTTCCATATTTTGTCACATTACAACCACAAACATAAATATATTTCACTG